AGTAGAAGTTATATGTCTAGTGTTAGCTAGAAACTTAATTATTAATCGATATATTATATTTAGTGTTAGCTATTTATTAATGGGCATGTGTATTTTTTTTTTTTCACAAATATACATATTTTATTACAAAATATGATTTGATAAAATAAGTATGCATTTCTATGTACATATAATCTTTTTTTTGTAAATATACATATTTTTATTACAATATCATTTTATTATAATATACAATACAATACAAAATAATACAAAATGTTTAACAATATTAATACTAAATTCTTATATTCATATTATGATATTATGGGGTTGTATTCATTTGAGATTTTCAAAGATTTGTTGAAATTTTAAAAACTTGGTATATTTAACTTAGACTTTTTAAGACTTTAAAAGTCTTAATATACTCATTTGAGGTTTTTAAAAAGTCTTAAAAAATTTGGTGAGGTTAACTCATAAATTTGTTAAGATTTATAAGATTTTGTTAGAAATAATGCTGAAATTTTAAATACAAATTATATATGCCAAATTCTACTACGAAATTTCTTCTTTAGACTTAGAGGGATGTATTCGTTTGGAAGTTTGAGTGACGTTTGAGATTTTACGATTGGACATAACTTTTTTTGAATGTTATTTGAATTTATTGAATAAATGAATTCAAGTTTTAAAAATGATTGAATGGAGATTTGAATTAGATTTTGAGTTTGTATTTAGAGATGAGTTAGAATATGTTTGAATATACGATTGTTAGTTAAAATGACACAAGTAGATAAATAGTAAATTTTGTTGATGTGATGTGTGATAATGATATTATTTAGTTATATTAATAATATTGTATATTAATGTTATGAAGAATTAAATTTAATTCTGAGTTAAAAATCTGAACATAAAATTATTTGACATATTTGAAGTGGACTTGATTGGTTAAATATATGCCCAATCGTACCACTTGAGTTTTGAGACTTAAATTTTAAAATTGATGAGGACTGTGTGAAATATTAAGTGCAATACATTTTTTTTTTTTTTTAAATAAATCCAGTTATGTTTAATCAATCATTTTGTTAACTCAAATCTAAATCAATTTTAATTCAACTCAATTACCATTATTATTATCTATAACTAAATAACATCATTCAATCATTCTTATACGTTACATCAATTTTAATTTACTATTAATCAATTCACATAATTTTAACTAATCATCATTTAACATCATTTGTCTCCTACTTTTACATCAAACTGATTATAATTATTTTATTTTAAATATTATTTTAATATAAACTTAAAATCCAACTACAACTAACCATACAATTTTTCTTTTTCAAAAGTAACCATACTAAAACAAAAAAATCCAAACAAAATCAAAACATCTTATATTTCAAGTAATCCCTTAATTATGGAGGAGATATTTGAAGTGAGATTCATAATTTTTTTTTCTTAAAAAAAAAATCATAGCAAATATTAAAAGAATTTAATTAATCTCAATTTCAAATAAGTTAAATATTTAAAATGTCAAATATATATGATTAAAAATCTTAAAAATTATAAGTTGAATACACTAATATTCCAAAATTTTAAAAAGTGTTAAAGAAATGTAACTAACCATTGTCGCTAAACAGAAATTATTTGGAGTCATCAAATGGTTCCCTTGTGAGCTATTCAAAACTTTATGTATTGACACATATAGTCCCGCTCACCTGCCCACGGTAGGCAGTGCCCACCACTTTGTTTTATATGAAAAATGTATTATGAGAATACGTTTTTCAATTAAATTTAATTAAAAAATGTATTCTCAGAATACGTTTTTCATATAAAACAAAGTGGTGGGCATTGCCCACCGTGGGCACGGGATCAAAATTTTTGACACATATTGAATATGACTCAAATATTGATAAACTAAAATCCACAAAGGAACTCCTTGTTTCATCATATTACACGTTCACCTCTCTCTTTCCCGTCAACAGTCTACGAGCTGAGCGATTTCCTCCGCCTCCGGCCGCCGCCGTGGCTGACGTAAGCATCATGGCGACGCGTAGGTCTACGCGGTCCAGAACCTCCTCTGCGGCTTCTCCTTCTACCAAAACTTATGGGTAAAGAAAGAACATAAGTTTCCTAGTCTCAATTTTCATTTACTGCACACTCAATCTCTCACCGAGGATCATTCGTCTTCTCCGTTGTTAATGTTTTTTCCAGTAAAATTTCCCTAAAATCGAAGCCTGTGAAAACGAGAAAATCTGGGCTGAAGGCCAAAGCCGCTGCGAAAAAAAGGGCGGCGAAAATCGACGCCATTAAACCTAAAAAGCCCCCGACTGCATTCTTCTACTTTATGTACGCATTTTCTGAGTTTCTTGTGTAGATGAGCTCGAATTTACTTGCTTGATCGTTCAATTTTTGTGGGTTAGATTCAATTTTCTTGGTTTGTGCCCGAAATTTGGAAATCTGCCGCTTTTCGAACGATCTTTTTTCCTTGATTAATCAATCAAATTCTGATATGTGCAATTTTGTCAGAAAAAAAAAAGCTAGTTAATACAAAAAACTTGCAGCTTTTCTTCATTTGTTTTGAATGTGCAGTGTTTGTATGGAGCTCAATAGATTGTGGCAGAGCAGAAAGCTAATTTTATTTGGTCATCGCTCATTGAGTGCAGTATTAGTTTTTTCTTTTTCAAATCGATCGTTTGCCCTTGATTAATCAGTCAAATTCTGATATGTGCAATTTTCTCACAAACAGCTAGTTAATAAAAATAAAAACTTGCAGTTTTTCTTCATTTGTTTTGAATGTGCTGTGTTTGTGTGGAGCTCCAGTAGATTGCGGAAGAGTAGAAAGCTAATTTTATTTGGTTATTGATCGTTCAGTAAAGTATGGACTTTTCTTTTTTAAATTTGATGTTTTTGTAGCTCATTGTTGGGGTTGAAATGAAACTGCTGATGATTTGTAGTGTTTACATCTTTTAATGATACAGTTCCCGTTAATTCTAAATGTTTCAGGGAGGATTTTCGTAAGGAGTTCAAGGAGAAAAATCCAGATATTAAGTCGATGTGCGATGTACATTAGCCAAACCCGATATGAACATAGCTCCTTTTACCTTTTGTTGTTGTATTGGTTACTGATAATTGTCTTTTGATTTTGAATAGTTACGTTCTTCTTGCAGATCGGTAAAGCATGTGGAGAGAAGTGGAAAACAATGACTTATGAGGTTTGCAATTGGATGTTTTCTTTTGGCTATTGATTTAAAAACAAAACATTGCTAAAGATCTTATTCATCCTTATGAGTATTATGATTATACCTTTTTTTTTTTTAAAATAAAAATAAAAAATAAACGTGTATGTTTGCGTTGTTACTACACGTTATGGGTAAATTAGTGTCTGAATCCAATTTTTGTTTTCAGATTTTTTGTGTTGTGGATTATATGATTGAAAATTTGGTTTCTTTAAGCTACTGCATTTAGGTTATGTAATTTTGCAAGTGCCCATGTACGGGAAGTTTATATATCATGGACTTCATAAATAACTAACTCGAATATATATGTTCATGCAATGTTTGATTTTTTCTTATTCTAATGTTTTCACAATGCTGGTCATAGGAAAAGGTGCAATACTATGATATTGCCACAGAAAAACGAGCTGAATTCGATCTTGCTATGGCAAACTTCATCAAAAGAAAGGTAGACCAATATATATTGCTTTCTAGTCTTGGTTGTTTTGTTCTTGGAACATTTCTTCTCACGAAATGAGAAAAGCGGTTCTTTTGCCAACTCTCCTTACACGAAAACCCATTTTGCAGGAATGTGATGAGTTTGATGTTGATGACTCAGACTCTGAAGGATAGAAGCTTAGTATTAATGGCAGATGCAGCTTGCAGTTGTAGATGCCATCTCGTTTTTGAATGTAACATTTAAAATTTTAATAAACTCTGTCTCTGTATTATTTCTTGTGTATTAGAATATGCATATCCATCCTTTTATTTTATTTTATTTTATTTTTATTTATTCCTATTACATTTTTTTTTCATAAATTTATGTACACATGTTAGTTGAATTAATAATATCTCAGAAAATCATTCACAGTTTGGAAAAGATTTTGGCTGTTGCTTGGAGTTACAGATTGATTAGTGTAATTGTGTGGATTAAACAAAAGGGAAATGCTAAGGTCTCGTTACGGAATTATTTCCGTCGGAGTTTGTAACCGTTAGATCATCATGTAACCGTCAGAGTAATTGATCTAACCGTTACAAATTTCGACGGAATGGTTCCGTAACGGGACCGTTGCATCTTCTTAAAAAAAGAAAAGAACAGTTTGAACCCAACTTGTTCTCAACTGTTGCTATATACTATATTTTTCCAATTATGTAACATACATATGTATTATACAATTTTGTCAAAATTTTTATGACAAAAGAGATTATCTAATCTAATAGCTAAATTAGACACATATAATCAATCACCTTCCACACACAACGGCCAACCATCAAATGAAAGGCAATGACATGGTCACATTCTGATCACATATAATAAAAACCCCACTAATCTCTCTCTAATTTTTCCCCTTTTTTTTTTCATTAACCATTTTACATACACCCCTAATTTTTTTTTCTCATAAACCTTTTTTCTTTTCCTCCTCTCCTTACAAGAGGCCCAAGGCAAGGAAAAGAGGTGGTGGCCGGCTGAGGAAGAAGAGAAAACCGGAAAGGAAGCGGCGAATGAGGTGGCGGCAATAACCATGTCGACGACTAATTTAATGGACATCGACATAAGCCGGCTGAACAAAACCATTCTGTGCTATGCCGAAACTATTTACAGGTTTAACGGCCTTTGGGAAGGACCCGATCCTCTCACGCCCCTCATCTCTCTCTTCCTCATCCAGCTCACCTTCTCCATGAGCTTCATCCATCTTCTTGTGTACGCGTTGAAGCCTTTCAACCAACCGCCTTTCGTAGCCGAGCTTCTCGTAAGTTGCGAAACAATGTACATTTTATGTCGTTTTCTTTCTTTCTTTCTTTCTTTCTTTCTTTCTTTCTTTCTTTTGTTCCTCTCTGCAAAATCACGCGCGTGAATCCATATGATATTACAATATTTTGACGTTTACCTTTTTGATGCATGTCAAAATGTTATTTCATAATAATAAAAAAAGACAAAAAAAATTCTGAACCGCAGGGCGGCATACTGTTGGGTCCTTCCGCGTTCGGCCGCATCACGACCTTCCGGAAGCTTCTCTTCCCCAACTACTCCTTCAAGGTCTTGGAGCCAATGGCCCACCTCTCGATAACCCTCTACGCTTTTCTCGTCGGCCTCAAAATGGACGTGAAGGCCATTCTCCGGCTCGGCCCGAAGTCAACCAAGGTCTCTGTGGCCACCATATCCATACCGTTCTCCGTTGGTTGCGGCCTCTTCTTCCTCTTCGCCGGAGATCATGACCAGTGGCTCGGCTGCCTCTTCTGGGGCTCCGCCTTAGCCTCGACTGGCTTCAGCATCCTCACCAGAATCCTCGACCGTCAACAAATCCTCCACACCGAGGCTGGGAAAACCGCCGCCTCCTCTGCCCTCGTGGCCGACATTTCCACGTGGGCCCTACTCGCCCTTTCCCTAGCGGCCACAAGCTCTCGAAACAACATCCATTGGTCCATTATAAGCACTACTGCTTTTGTCCTTCTCTGCGTTTACTACGTTCGGCCCGCGCTCGGATGGGCCATTCGGAAAACTCCCGAGGGGCAGGGATATAGCGAGTTCTACATATGCTCGGTTCTTGCGGGAATGTTTGTTAGCGGCGTGTTGACCGATGTTTTCGGGACGCACCCGATGATAGGAGCGTTTGTGTTCGGGCTCGTGATACCGAACGAGGTGCTCGAGGCCACGATTGCCGACAAGTTGGAGGATTTCGTCGTGGGAATCTTGCTGCCGGTTTACTTTGTAGTGTGCGGCCTGCGGACAAACGTGGATGCCGTCTCGACGGGGACTTCGTGGGCGGTGGTTGGGTCGGTCGTGGTGGTGGCGTGCGCGGTCAAGGCGTTTGGGGCGCTGCTCGTGGCGGCGTTCTCGGAGTTTCCGATCGACGAGGCGCTTGCCGTGGGCCTACTGACCAACGCCAAGAGCGTCATGGCGCTCGTCGTTCTTGAAACAGGCCAAATACAAGGGGTGAGGAATATCAATGAAAAATCTTTTCTAATCTACATTTAGCTTAAGAGAAAAACATTTTCTTTTTTAGTGGTAAAATGCAACTTTTGAATTTTTACGAACATTCACAATTTTCACGTTTGTCTACATCTTGACCATACATAATATCCAATTTTTTCAAATGATCGTTGGTTGAGTGTGTGAGTTATGAATGTTGAACTGATCGTTGGTTGAGTGTGTGAGTTATGAATGTTGATGCAGTTCAGGTTTGCATTTTACCACGAACGAAAAGAATAGTATAGATTATAACTATTGACGGTGTCTCGTCCACGAACAGGTGCTCAACACACAGATGTACTCGGTGATGGTGGTTGCGGTTCTTGTGATGACGATGATCGTGACCCCGGCAGCCATTTACTACCGTCCCGTCCAAAACTTAACCCCGTACAAACGTCGCACGGTCCAGAAGGCCAAGTCGGACGACGAGCTCCGCGTGCTCGCATGCATCTACGACCCCCGCAACGTTCCCCCTCTCATCCACATCCTCCGCACGACCCACGCGTCCCCCCGCTCGCCACTTTCGGTCTTCGCCGTCCAGCTCGTCGAGCTTGTCGGCCGCGCCTCCGCCGCCACGACCCTTGTCGCCCACGCCCCCCGCCGCCGCGCTTCCACCGCCCCCAACCACCACCACCACCATGGGGGCCAAGTCGAGGCCCAAGCCGACCAAATGGTCGCCGCCCTCGACAACTACGAACTCCGGTCACAAGGTGTCCGAACCCACGCCTACACCGCCCGTTGCCCCCTCGCCACCATGGACGATGACATCAGCAATGTGGCCCGCGATAAGCGAGCCGCCCTCATCCTCCTCCCCTTCCACCGCCAGCAATCGTCCCCCAACGAGCCCATGGACGAGATCACGCCCGCCACGCGCGCTGTCAACGAGGCCGTCCTATCTGGCGCCCCTTGCTCGGTCGGCATCCTCGCCGACCGGGGCTTCGCGGGCTCCCACGACCACGCGGCGAACATCGCCCTTTTGTACTTCGGAGGGCCCGACGACCGAGAGGCACTCGCGTACGCATGGCGGATGGCCGGTGGGGAAGGCGTCTCGCTAACGGTCGTCCGGTTCATCTCGAGCGGCGAGTCGGCGAACGGGAAAAGCGGCCACATGGAGGATCCAAGTGACGGTTTCGAGGTGAGTCTCGAGATGGATTACGAGCAAGAAAGACTTCTCGACGACGACTATTTACAGAAGTTCCGAACTGCAACGGCAGACGACAAGTCGATAAGCTATTTCGAGCTCGTGCTTAACGACGAGGAGGAAGCGATTAAGGCCATTAAGTCGATGGATGGTCACGGGCACGATTTGTATGTGGTTGGGAGGGGAAGAGGAATGGTGTGCCCGTTAACCTCGGGACTGGCCGACTGGTGCGACTGTCCCGAGCTGGGGCCGATAGGGGACCTTTTGGTCACGTCCGAGTTCGAGTCGGTTTTTTCGGTTCTGATAGTTCAGCAGTACGTGAAGACAAACAGGTCAAGGGAAGGGTCGATAAGGTCGTCAAACTCGGGGAATTACGGAGAGGAGATGGTAATGAGGCCGTCGTTGAGCGGGAGTGATGGGGGGCTCGAGCATTACGGGAGCTTCAGGGAATGGGATCATGAGAATTGAGAGTGCAAAAAGAAAAAAAAAAA